TAATGTTTGTTAATGAGCTTCGCCGCATCCTCGCATCCCCGCACCCACTCATCACTTTTGGCAGTGCCCGGGGTCAAGGCGTTGCTTTACTGATGCTTCTGTTGCTGGAATGTCTGCAGCTTTCCGACTTGTTAAATGCTGGAATTACCAAAGTGGAAAAATGAAAAGGTCCCTCAATAGGACCATCTCGTCCTTGGGGCTACTGGATGCTCCCGACAGAGCCGCCGCACACACCAAACACTTAATGAAATAATTATGTAAAGCAAACAACCTGTCGTTATATGCCCACCTTGGCCATCACCTTTGCCGCAGAGTCTTGCTTTTGACATTCATTAATTTGATGATATCCAATCTTAATTATTATGCGTTTAATTAGATGGCCTTTATGTGTCTGGATCGTTGCTTGTTGGCCTGGCAAAACATTGATAGTGCCTAAAACTTTTTAAAAGTCTACCCACAACTTTTGGAGTAAACATTGATTAACATTTCACTTTTCATTACTTTCGAGGAACTCAGAGAACTTGCATAAACTTCAGAGGAACTTTAAAGAGAAAAATAAATTTCTTTATCTAGCAGGGTACTCACTGAAAAGCTCGAGTTGCTAAGATTATTTGAAATTTAAAAATTTGATTAGATTTCTGTCCTTTAGGAATGATTTAATAATTCACTAAAGAATCCAGGCTTCGCAGGCAAAGATTGCTAATCCAAGTTCTATGTTTATGACCTGAAGCTGTAACTATGTCAAAAACTAGTTTATCGGATGCTAATCAGACCGCTCCCCCAACAAATGGGGGAAAGAATTCCACTCAGCACTAGGTTGGCAGGAGGCAGGCTGGTGCGGGAGCCGCATGTAAAATAATTTGAAAACACGGCATTAGCGTAATGAAGCATGGAAAAGCACGGGGGCGGAGTGAAAGTGGGTGAAGCTGTTGGCAAGCAGGTGAAAAGCGCACATAAATGCCAGAAGTTATGCAAGTCCTTAACTTTCATGAGTATGCCACGCTGACAGACGAGCATTTTGTTGGCAGGACGGAGCGGGGCGGGTTTTTGATGAAGGTCCGTGCGGGAAAGGATGAAAAAGGACGAAAGGATTGGATGGGTGCCGCCAAAGCAAAACTGTTGTGCGAATGCAGATGGAACTGGCTGCTCCCCGGGCTGATGCACTGGCTGGGCGCAAGTGGCGTATCACACATGTTTGTCATGTGAACGGCGCTGCCTCAGAGTGGTGTCTGTCTGGATGTCTGGATTCAGGTTGAGTGCCAGTTCGCTCACAAAACTTTACACCACAAATGCAGAGACAAAAACCATAACGTCATTCCATAGAGATCTAAAAGTCTCTAATGAAATTTACACAGTAATTCCTCTCTTGGAAACTAATTCCTGCAATTTTACAAAACATTTCTTTGAAAAAATATTCTACCTGGAATAGGGATTTTTTTCAAGTGCCTTCACACCTTGGCGGAAAGCCTCGTATTCTTATTCAGTGCGTAATCTTCACCTTTTTCAGTTTCGCCATGCACTTTTATTGCATCCTTTTAAGGAGGAGTCCTCCCCGGAGCAGACGTAGCTTGTATCGGGAAAAGTTGCACCTTGAATTCGCCACTTTATGCCACCTGCCCCCGATGCCGCACTTTTCGCCCACTTTGCCACCAGTTAAGTAGTTGTAAGCTGCATAATGTATTTACGCAAGCACCGGAAATTGGGTGCCACGAGCTGGGTGGCAACGCAACAATAAAGCCTTGTGGCACCCATCGTGCTAAACGCGCATAGACAAGTGTGATCCTTGCGGATGCCGTCGGGATATGGACGAGGATGTTAGATGCGGGGCTGCGGATGCGGATGCGGGCACTCTTTGGTTTCTGCTGGCATATTTTATGGTGTTCTGAATCCAGCTAAATTGCAACAACTCGCTCCTGCGGTGCGGATTTGATTAATATGCAACGTACACGTAGTTCGGCAAGTAGAGGTTTACTCGGATGTATGTAGATTGCACCCAAAATGGCAGAGATTTTTTCCAGGCAAGTGTTAAAGCTTAAAGGATGTTTAAAAATTTAACATTCTGCCCCGTAGCGGCACTCTTTTTTTTTAATTTCTTTACTTCATTCATTTGCATGACTTGCCACAAATAAAAAGTAAAACAAACAGGCTGTCTTAAACAGAAATGAAAGGGTCACAAAACTAGAAATAGAAATGTTACGCCGGAGGCACAACAAGATGTGCCTAATACAGTACTCCACAGGACCATAAGTTCAGCATAGTTTTAATCCTTTCCAACTTGTTCAAGACTCATCGCCTACGCCGCACTGTAACCGCATGGCATGAATGAAAACAAATTATAACCCTTGCCTTAAATGACACTAAATTTGCTCCCTTTACTGTATATGCAGATTGTGGCAAATTTTGGATATTCTTTGAATGAGAATTGTATGTTAATTTTTTGTGTAATTGGCCAACATTTAGTTTTTAATACTGACTCGACACGACAGAAATGGAGGAGATAGGCAAAGTTGAATGCAAATAGAAAGTCGTTGTGGAGGGAAAGAAAGAAAATAAACGAATAGGTGAGTTTTTGGTCATACCCGTAGTTTTGGCCGCCACGGCCAGGATGCTGCTACTCCATTTCGTTCCCATCATTGTCATAATCATCGCCATAGGCAACCCGGCCAACCAGACAGCAGGCGGCAGTATGCAAATTAACTTAAATGTCAACGTTGGTAAAATTTTAAAAACGACAAAAGCAGAATTCCATCCGAAAACGGGTGGCAAACGTGGCCGGCAATGGAAATTCGTTGAAAAATTGTGCACCAAATACAAGGGTATTTGGCAGGGCAGGGTATGGTGTGGGTGGTGTTCGGTATGCAGTGCGGAAAGGCTGGTGACAAACTGCAAACGTCAACCAATTTTTTTTTTGTATCCACACTTGTCTGCACAAAAACGGAGAGTGAGTGAAGCCCCGGTGACAATGATGTTAACTAGAGTGTGAAAACTATGATTGGCTGACAAGGGCGGGATGGGCCGTTGTCGGGAGAGGGTTGCCGGGAGCTCTGTGTGTAGTCTGATTTATGCCATATTCTTGCTCATCTCACCGCTCAGGGGTCGTCACCCGCCATCTCCTGCCTCATCACTCTCCTCCAAACTCGTCAACCACTTTGCGTGTGCTTGTTGGAACAATGCAATACAATGCCAAGAACGATTTTCATTTCCATTTTGATTTTTCCTCTCTTTATAGTTTCCATTTCCTTAAATGCCGCCCGAACCCGAAATTATCGTATTGGGGGGCAACCAAACCGCAGTATAGCTGTGAGGATGGAATAATTCTTTAAGAGTTTTTTCAAAATCTGCGTAGCTTTTTTTGGCATATTTCATGAGTAAACACTAACCCCCAAGTGCATTATTAATCTTAATTAAAGTTGAAAAATCAGAAAAAATAATATGAGCTATGTATGAAATGAAAAGTTTTTTGCAAAAAATCATTGACATTTTTGAATAACTCCAATAAACAGTCATATACATTTTTCCACTCTTTTGGATTCCATAAATTGGAATTAGTTATAATGAAAAACCAAAAAATGCTTTTAAAAATTCACAAAAATATGAGTTCAATGCCAAAACCAAAACTCATTTATCTGTATCCCAATTTATAGCTTTTTGATATGGTTTATGCATAGTCAAGCCCTTTCTACCGAGTAACCACCGAAACTAACCATTGGAAAAAGTTCACAGTGCGAAGGGTGCTAATATTTTGACATCCATTCGGTTGTCCTGGGATCCTAGTTTCATATGCATCAGCTTAATGCGTTGTTAGTAAGAATAATTTTTGTCCTTCGTTATTTTTTGTGTGGTGTGGTGGTAGTTTTGGCTGCGACCTCCGGGTGTGCCAAGTGGTGGAGCCACAAATGAATATTTAACTAACTTGTCCACAATTCTGAGGCGGTGCCTGAATATGTGAGTTGACTGACCACCACGTAGCTCCATGTGTATAGTATGAATATTTTTAGCAAAAACTAGTTTGTGGGCAGTGGTGGAAGAGCTTTACCATTATTCACACTAGCCCTGTCTCTTTTTCAGAAAGATGCGATTTAAATTGGGAACCTTGTCATGAAACGAAAAAGGAAATTACTTTGATTCCATTGAAGAAATTGTATTTTATTTATTTGTATTTCTCTTATTTGTAATGGCTTAAGAATTATTGCAAACACTTCAAATCATTCCAATTGATTTTCCATTTTATTTCAATTTTAATTGCAGTAACCTTAGAATGTGGTTGCAAATCAAGTATACGCAACGTTGGAGCAACTCCTTACATTTCTGTTTATTTAGTTGATTAAATTTTGGGTTTTGTTTTAGGTTCTTTTATTTTTTCTCAATTTTTGGCGTAGCTGCGTCTAAAATTTTTGTAAGTCTTTTATATACTAACTAATGTATACATTTTCTTTTGGCTTGCGTGGATTATTTAGAGGAATAGAACGCAGTAACATTCGCTTATTTACACAGATGTTTTTAGTTTATGTATCATTTAATGTTTATGCATAAAGGTTAGCTTTAAGTCTTAGGAAATCAGGGTTATTCATTATCTAAAGGTATACATACATATTTACAATTTATATCTTAAGGAAACTTAAGAAAATGGCATCAAACCCAAAATAATATTACAATTTAAAAGAATATTATCATTTATTTTGATTTATTCGTAGGGTACTATTATTTTTATTTTATTTTATTATTTATTAAAATTCTATCAATACCTTGGTGAAGGTGTTTAATTAACTTATATGATACAACCATGGCCAAATTTTAAAGTAGGGAAGTAGTTTTGTCCTTGGAAGGAGAATACTGTGCATTCTATTTACACAATTCTTGCAAATGCGATATGCTCGAACTTAAGATTTACTTTAAACTTTAATTTACACTCAGATGGAAAACCATTATTAATCTCGATTATTTCGAATAATATTACTATGCATGAAGTTTCTTATGTATTGCCTCGACGATGAGTGTGTAATATGTTTATGTCGCGTAAAATCCTTATTCATAGCCTCCTTTATGGAATAAAATTCATGTGGCCTTGCTCTAGCCGGAGGGAAACTCAAGTCTTGTCTTCAGCCACTTTGGTGGCACTAATTGAGCTGCTGACTCTGATGAAGCTGGTCCTTGATTTTGCCTCGATGGCTGCTCCTTCTGATACTTTTGCCTCTGCTCCATTTACAGATGGTGTCCGGGATATCCTTGCTGTGGCGGACCGGCTGCCTTTCGGCTGGCAGATGTCCCTGGCCACGGCACATTTAATAATCCACAAAAGTGTCAGAAGCGTTGAAACATACCGCCAGTGCAAATAGCCGTGACATCCAATTAGCGTGCTCCAGCTGACACTGCCGGACTTAATGGCGGAGGCGGAGTATTCACCTGCCGATCAGAAAAAAACAGGTTAGCCGTGGGTCGAGAATTTTGAGGTTTTGGCTTTCCAGCACAAATCCCGACCACCAGAGCAGAAACCCAATACCCGCCCAATCCTTTAACATCGCAATCAATTTTATTTTGCTTCAAATTAAATCTACACTGACGCCAATCCAATGCGGCTCAACTCGTCTGAACTCGATTGGATAAATAAAGTGCCCATTGTAATTAAATATTTCTATTGCAAAATTGAACAGCAAACATGAGTGGGTGTGTGCGCGGTTTTGCACATGTATATGGGTTTATGTGGGCGTATCCCGAATTTCGTATACGGATAATATGGCTGATGGATTTTTGTGGTGTCCGCATGAAATGCGCACATTGCAAATATTGAAAATGCATCGACATTGGCTTCAAATTAACTGATAGTATCAAGGCAAATAAACCCTGATGATACCCGCCCAGCTCATTAGAGTCTAAATATTATTTATTCACGGGAATCCGTAAAAGGTTATGCTAATTTTCTAAATTTCATTTAAAATTTAAAATATCACTCTTTAAAGATACTTTAAAATAAAATATTACAAAAGAAGCCGAGTTATTATGGCTTAATCACTTCATTCTCAGTACTAATTTAGTGGTTCTGGTGAATTTCCCACTTAAAAGCGCCCATATGGCAACTGGAATAGTGTACTAGTCCGAACAAGTAAAGAGCCGACAAGTTAACCACAATTAGGCCAAATTAATTATCAGTTTCGCAGTGCTAGCTTTTCCATTACCCCGAGTATCAATTACCATAACCACTATACATATGTATCCTCTGGCAACGGTAACAAAATAATGCGAGTCATCGCAATTCGAGCCTAAAATGAGCTGCGGTCTGGGGAATCATTTATGCAATGTATAGAAGGCTTGTCGAATATGCATGAAATTATTTATTTAAAATAATTAAACTTGAATAAATTTAAGCACCGACCGCACTCTGACATTGCCACTTCACAAAGAGAAAGGACGCGGGTGGCAAGCGAATAAGCAAATTAATTATGCCAGTGAAGTGGAACTGGACCAGGGCTAGGGCCCTTGCTGATTCAATAAATCACAGAGGAAAGTGCAATTATAATAAAAATCCCTTAATAAATAAATGATAATATCATTAAGTTATTAATAATCATTTGTCATGATGCAACGCAGCGCAGTGCAGTGCAACGCAACGAAATATCGTAACGAGCCACAAGAATTGTGAACCAGAAATGACATTAAGTTTATTAACCTTTTCGCACTTATATACGATTCGCGGAAAATGTTATTAAAATTATGTAAAAAACACAAAGTAAGGCGGGAGAGAAAGCTCTCTTCTGGCTGAAATTTCATTATGGTGTGGCACTCAGTCAGGGCCGACACACAGGCACACTCCCACACCTACATGCCTCCAGAGTATTGTTTTTCATTATCCTCGGCTTTAACATGTTTTCACTCATTTGCCCGGCTTAACGCCAGCAAAAAGCGAGTGGCTCTGAGCCTTTTTCTTTTATCTACGTCAATTAGTCGAATATTAAAAATACATTAATTCCGTGTTATAAATGATGTTTGCTTTCAGCCCGAAAACAATGCGGCCATTTCACTGCAAATTAAATTGGAAATTTAATTTTAAAATCTTTGAGATATTTTGCCCTTTCTGATCCGGACATAAGCACCTCTCATCAGTGTTGTGCGTACCTATGCCTAGGCAGGAAAAAAGTGTGGCAACCCGGGTGGCATTTTTATGGCCATTATTTGTAGCTTGACAGCCATCGCCCGGCCTACGGAACTTGTTCCTGTCTGCCCGGAGTCCTGCTGAGAGTCCTTGTCCTTCGTCAGGTGTCATCAGTCACAATCGCCGGGCATTTGTTGTGTCGCCTGTCTCAACTGAGTGTGAGTTTGCACCCGACAGAGTCGAATCATATTGTCAGTGCCGGTGAAGTGGCTTTAAGTAGCGTGCTTCAAACGGAAAACGACAGGCTACAAATAGCTGGCAAACACAGGCGAGCACATGTCGGAGTTGACAGCCAGGACCAGGAACTGGATCAGGAATAGGAATAACAAAAAAAGCAAAGTCTAGAGGGGTTGTTGGCCAAACGATTTAAATGCAAACGGAAATTTGTGACAAGTTCACTTAAAGAAAAATCTGGACTTGAATGAATTTGTAGATATTGTAAATAAATTATAGAAAATTCAGAAATTTAATGACCTTGCAATAAATTCAGTTATGATATTATTGATGTTTTAAAAATATCCCCGAAGATAAAGAAACTTTTAGTTTATCTGTAGCACGACGGATAGACAAATTGTAAGAACAAATGGATATTCAGACAGATAGCTAACCATTACGTTGCGACATTTATAGGTCATCGTCATCGTCGTCCCAGTCTCCATCGTCATGGACATTTACCTCGGCATCACTGTCATTGTTGTCAGCGTCCTTGGTCCTTGTTGTCCAAGTTGCCTGGCGGACATTGAGCAAATAACGCAATTGTGGCCATTTCGAGATAACAATAAAACTGCAACCGTTTCTTGCCTCGTTCCCGCACTTTCGGCTTGGTTCGGTTGGGTTTGCTTTGGTCTGGTTTTGGTTTTCATTTCCAGCATTTCAGCATTGTGCCATTGTGTTTGCCATTGTAGGAAATTGTGTAAACAAAATAAAAACCTCTCAAATTGCCGGAACAGTGGTTTCGTCCAAATTGAAAGTGCAACAAAAAATTATTCAAATTCTCAGATATTTTCCACTTTAATAACATTTTCGAATTTAATTAACCGTTTTTGTGTTTTAGTTACGCCGCCTCGGTATCCACTGTGCGGATATTTCGCGAAAATCAAAAGTCAAAACAAACACAAACGCATCCGAATAAAATTCAATTAAGCTAAATGAAAACTTAATTCAATTGCCGGGCCATCCAGACAAACAGTTAACGCCTGAACCACCACCTCCCCATTTATCCGCCACCTCATTCATACCGCTGCCGTTCTGGCCACCCCCCTTACCATTTAGCACGTGGAGCACAATGGTGCGTGGCGCACTGTTCGAGGGGCTGCATGTGTAGTTGCCGGAATCCAGCTTGACTACGGCCGGAATGATGAGCGAAGCCGCCTGAAATTGTATAATAAAATCATCAGAAACTCACTCGAAGAAAAAGTATAGTATCATGGTAGTATTTTCAACTAGAGTTAGTTTTAGTTGGCATTGTAGTTTGGCTCTATTGATGCTCTATCTTTTAAAATTCGATTTAAATATTTTTTAATAATTTTCACCATCGTATTTCAGTGCATGCATAAGCGCATGTATTATTCAGAGGCCGAGACAGCCGTCAGACAAGATCAAGTGAGGCAGTATTACATATTATAATTTGACAAACGTCGACAATAAAAATTTAATAAAAATTATTTTACCTGCCGCGCATTCACGCCAATTTGTGTAATGAAAAGGCGTTTAATGGGAAATTTTCCCAACATGAAGGGGCGTGGCCTTTTGAGGGGCCTGGGAGTGTCTGGGTGTGTGGGCGGATGTGATGCGGTAAGCCACTTACTGTTATCTGCTTAATGAAACTGCTGCTTGGTAGCAAGGTTGTCGTTGTTGCTGCCACAGTTGTTGTTGTTGTTTCCGTGGAGTCGGTGAATGTGGTTGTTGCTGAGGTGCTCGTCATCCAGGTGTTTGTTGTTATTGCCGAGTCACCTGTCGCCGCCATCGAGGCTGTTGTCATTGTTGTTGCACCATCGGCGGATGCCGCTGGATTTGCAGCTGCCGTGGATGCCAAGATGGGCGGTGGATTGCCTGAAGTCGGAGACGTTGCATCCACATCTGCTGCAAGCTCGGGGGCTGTCGTCCCGGCAACAGCGCCACTTGCCACATCATTCGGTGATATGGCATCTAAAATGTATGAACGTGTTATGGTAGCCAAGCCATTAAGTGACTCCAATGCCGATTTGGATGTCGAGGCTGCTGTTGATCCACTACTGGATGTGGTGGAAGCTGTTGCTGCTGGTGTTGTTGCTGTGGTGGTGGTGGTGGTGCTAGTGGTGGTTGTGCTGGTTGTTGGCACTTCCGCTGGCAGTTCAATGCGTTCAATTTCCGTACGCCAACCGCGACGATTATGCAAATAGATTTGCTTCTGATTGTAAAACCAATTAATGAAAAGCGGCGGCTCCAGAGCCTGGCTAATTATGCAACGCAATTTCACTTGACTTCCGGCCTTCACATGTCGCGTTGACTCCCCAATTAATTCGGTTTTCGGTTCTATGGGCGACAGACAAAGAGAGCGAGACAGAGAAAGTGAGTGGGGTCTGTGGGGCAAGAACTCAAACACAGATTTCGAATGCAGAGTCGGGTAGACGCGAAAGTGCATCGGTCATTGATTTATTGTCTCTGTCATTGCAGATTTATAGGTGTGGTCAGAGGCTTCGGTTTTGGTTTAGGTTTGGCTTTGATTTTGGCGGATGAAGGCCAATAGGTCATTGCAATGTTTGGACAGTAATTTAGGGCACAAGATAGTAGATTTCCTCTGAACACACCTGCGTGCATTTGACATTCCACGTTTATGTATTGTGTTGTTTGAAATCAAAATTGGGTTGATTTATTTAAAATTTTTACAAAACTTTTGTAAAATAAAAACAGTTAGACTATAATAAAATGCGATTTGAAATAAATAAATATTTATTACCTTGCAGAGGGTAATATAATTTTGGTCAAAAATGTGAAACGCTGTGAAGGATCACCTCCTGAGTTGATGTAAGCATAAGGGTTTTGTTTTTTGGATTCTATTACTGGCAAACTTATACGACATATCAAATTTCATAAGAATCCTATAGAGGAATCACGAAAAATGGACAAAAAATATTAAAAATATTTTGTCTCAGGGTTTTTTTTATGCAGAATGGTGAAGAATCAATCAGGAAATCGTTTAAGATACTCCGCTTGAGAATCGGATGAGAATTGGGGAAGATATGGGCATAATTATGAACCCTAGAGGGGAAAACCCCATTTTCAAGGGATCCCATCACGAAAAATGGACAAAAAATATAAAAAATATTTTGTCTCAGGATTTTGATGCAGAATGGTGGAGAATCGATCCAGAAATCGTTAAAGATGCTTGAGAATCGGATAAGAATTGGGGAAGATATAGACATCCTTGTAGGGGAAAACCCAATTTGAAGGGATCCTATCACAAAAAATGGACGTAGTCGATCGGCCAACCATATGTTATAGCTGCCATATAACTGAACGATCGGAAATGGTATTTGGTAAAATACCAACTATTGTATTTTTTAAGATAGAAGCTTTGGTCTTTTTTTTAGATTTCTTATTGTAAGAAATTACGCAATTAGCTTTCCTTTCTTGTTTTATTTTTATTTTTGATATCTTTTAAGTAGAATTATAACGAGAAACGAACCCAAAAAAGTATGCTATGCTTTTTGTGAAATGTACCATTAACTTACCAACAATCCTTAAGTGCACAATTGCACTGGCTTTGGGCTCCGTGGACACCTGGCACTCGTAGGTTCCCTCGTCCTTCACCTGGACGTACTTAATCTGAAGCGACCATCGCTCAGGATTTGGCGAGAAGACCGACTGGAAGCGCTGATCCGCAATAAAGGTGGTCTGGTCCACGGTGAGGATGTGACCGTCCCGCATTCGCAGCCAGGAGATGGGCTTTTTCACCAGCTGCTTCACCTGACATAAATGAGACAGCAAGTTTGACTTCAATTATTGAAAAGTCATTCAATTGTGGCTTTCAATTTTTAAAATTAATTCAATTATCCCCCGCTCAGAAAGCTATCCAAACAGCAAATCCCAGCTGTCCAACCCGAGGAATGGTCAAAGCGATTATGGTCGTAACAATGATGATGATGACGTCAGCAGGACTTTAACTTGTTTACGTTTCTCTACCTCTGTTGTGTGTTTTGGGTTTGTGGTGGAAGGAGTGTCACCGGGAAGGCGGTAAACAATCACGATAACAAAACGACGATTCATTTATGTCAATAATGACAATAATAATTTAGTGGCAATTGGTTCAGGCAGCTTTCGAAAAGAGAAAACACAATAAAACCCATTAGATACCAGGCCATAGAAACGGAAGTTCATCCTTCCATAAGTGATGTGTTATTTTCAATAATTATAATAGCCTATTCAGTTTAGCATAATGTATAGAAAAAGCAATAGAAATACCTATACATTTTTAAAACGGTTAAATGTTTTAAAAGGTTCGCGAATTTATTGTTCATGAGTTTCTGATGTGAATGCATTTTAATGTTTTGCATTTCTTCCGGTGTTTAGTCATCCTTAAAGCGCGGGTTATTATAGCCACTGGCCGAATCGGAGGCGTCATGACAGAGGCAAATGACAGTCTTTTAAACCACTGTCATCAAATACATTGTCGGTGTCTGGGCCCAGACAACGAGGACCCCAGATCTCCGACGACGATGACGACAACGTCATGATTAGATACTATAATCATTTGCGTTTTATGGGCTTGTTGTTGCCGCGCCACTCTTATTATTGTCTTTGTTGTTGTTGTTGCTATTATTGTTGTTGGGGATGTCGCCAAGGAAGAGGAAGTGCCAGACACTGGAGCACGGCTGGCTCCCGAGCTCCACCCACATCCATTCACTCTGTTATTGCTGGTTGAGCACGTGCTGTCAGAAACTATCTATTTTAAATGAATATGAACATCTACGCTCTCAGAAGACAAATCAACTCACTAAACCAAAGACTTTGGACCATAAATTTGATTGGAGACAGTAGCTTTAAGTTGTCAGGTCATATTAGAGTCAAAATGGGACAGTTTAAAGCTCTCTTTTATTATTGGTTTTAGTTTTGAGTAAAAGTAACAAAATTTCTACCCATTATTGAGCATTATACTTAAAAACTCAGCACAAAGAAATATTTTCATTTTCCCTTTATTTTCCATTATTTTCCTTTTTATTTCGAAATGGAAACATCTGATTGGAGGCCCTAATGCATGTTTAATTAATCATTTCCCAGTAGATACACGAGCTGACAAAATTTCCATACAAAATGATTCTGTTGACTATCTATGACAGAATCGAAAAATCATTGATCGAAGCCACTGTGCAGTGTGAGAGTTTATTAAATTTCACCAAACCAGAAGCCACAATGGGGCCGGGATGGGCTAGGACTCTGCCGGCTCTAAGGACATTATTATCGGGCTGAGCATCGACATTATACCCGGCATTAAGTAAAGATGCTTATCCACTCGGGCAAGGAGCCAAGTCAGGACTTCGAGTACGTGGCAAGTGTAAGTAAGTCGGCTGCTACGTCCTGCCTTTTGTCCTTGCGGCTGACAAATATCCCTGTGTGGCCTGTCTCGGCGCGGAACCTGCCTGGCATTAGCTAATTTAAATTTCTCGCCTCTCTCACCGTGTATATTGCGTTTAATTCCGCCATAAAGTGATGGCCCGTCGGCCGTTATCAGATGCCCGAATGTTTGCCATTTAAATATTGTTAATTAGTTTTAGCTGCAGCTCAAGCTCCCGAAAGTGTGTCACATCCTGGCGGGTGGCCCCTAGCCGGACCCGCTTTGTTGCCCTCTCCTTGGAATCGCTTTGTGCCACCATCGCTGCCGTCATCATCAGCTTCAGATTAGGGCTCCGGGTGAGCATCGTTTTCCATCACAGTCGAGCAGACAGCAAAGTTTGCTCATAACATTGCGAATTTTCGTCTAAACTTGTTTGCAAATAATTTCTTTTATTTTGTTGATTCTCTTCTGTCTTCTGTGCAGCGTCTTCCTCATTCTTTTCACACAACAATACACCTCAAAGTGCCTGCCTTCATGTCTGCTTCGAAATAACACAACGCTACAACGAGAAAGTACAAAAATGGGAGAAAACTTTTCGCTGACTTCGCCGAAAAAAAGCAAAATAAAAGAATGACAGCGGGTGGGGCGGAGCAGGGTCTGTCGATTCTGGGTAAAAAATATTCAAGTGCTTGCAGGCAAAGCATTTTTGCGGGATTCCCCCACACTTCCGATTCCTTTTGTGCCGTCTCGATTCGTTATCCTTCAGCTGCTCTTCTTTGTAACGCCCACGGTCTCAAAATGTATTATTAATTGATTAGGTTTAAGCAGATTTGAAGATTATTTCGGGCATATAAATATACACGCGATTCCCTACGCCAACAGCCATCAGCCAAAAGCGAGTGTGGTATATCCGAGTATCAGGCATGTGCGTATGTATTCAAATTATCTGATAAATATTTTATAGTAGATTGTTTTTCGCTTTCGCCCAGGGGAAGTTCATGGTTGAGGAAGCACTTTCTCGCCTGGGAACTCTGCTCTCTCCAGCATATATTCGATATTTGGTTAAATTTGCATACTTATTTATGCTAGAATTGAGACGATAGATAGGTCTTTGTATTCAGGCGATAGTTAACTCTAAATGATTTTGGATGCAAAGAGGCAAGAAAGTGGATTTCAATTTATACAAAACCATTAACGCAGTTAGCCAATTTTGGGGAAATTTGTTCCCCTTTTTGTTTGCTGAAGCCCAAACAAATAAGAACTTAAATGAATTGGAAAATCGGAAAAGCGCTTTCGCAGAATGCGGCAAGTAAAGGTAAGTAAATAAAACCTTTTTCCCCCTCGCTGCTCAGTTGCATCTTTTAATTAACTCGGCACCGGGACTCCCGCTGACTTTTTCTCACAGCTGACTTCCTTCGAATGAGAGCCACCCGGGAAAGTGTCTGGAGCCGTCAGTTAGAAGGAATATTTATTTCTGAAACCCTGCGTTCTACTGCATGACTCTCCCGTAATTTCCTGTCCAAACAGTTAGCAGCACCTCTGGCACTGGCAGCGTTACCATCCAGCAGCGCCAATTATAATTTTCAATGCGATTCGCGGATATGCAAGACCTGGGAAAGGGTGGATCTGGAAGGGTATACGGATGGGGAAGTGGCAGGCGGCAGGCGGATGCAGCAGGCACAGCGCCAAGGAGCAGCAAGCGCGTAACTGAGTTATTAGCGGATACCAGGACACTGCCCGTCCTTCTTTTTCTATCAGTTAGTTGCTCACTCTCTCTCCATCCTCCCAATTTATGCGTACATAAATACGTACTTGTGTGCAGAAGGGATATATAAATGTGTGTAAGTATATAGTCAACTATTTGGGTCATCGTTTTTGAGCAGCTTCAAACAAAAATGTGTCTCCCTTGGCTCCTTCAGCTTCCTCTTGTCTTTTTTTCCACTTCTACACAGAAAATAACAAGATTACTTTTGTGTTTGATGGAAAAAATGAGCTTGAAATAATAAATCAAGAAAACAACTTGCCCTTCTGTTATCCTGAATTATTTTGAAACAAAGAAAATTTAGTCTCATAAATTTTAAATGGCTTATGGGGCGTATGAGTAACTTCATAAAATGAACTTTTTGAAAAATGATATGTTTCCTTAAATCAATATCTTTATATTCCCTCAAAAACTAAATTTTTTAAAGTGCAATCTCAACTGCTTATGTATGCCCTTTGGCCAGGGCGTGGCATCGACATCAGCATCGGCAATTTCCGGTTTTGTTTTCGTTCAGTTCCGACAGCGGCCAGCGTAAATTAGTTCAAAGCTCTAAAATGGTAAAAAAAAAAGAGAACGGAAGCTGTGCCAATCGATGCCACATCCCCTGGGCCCTACATCCTGAGACCCTCCCATGGCATCCTCTTGCGCGAAAAACTGATTGGACCGAGCCGGAATTGTATAATCAGCTGCTTATTATAAATTATCAATGATTAATAAAAATGCCTTTGTAAATATTTGCACAGCCAACAAATTGCCGGGAAACTTCTTCTCCCAGATGGATGGATTGTTGGGTAAACAGTGGAGCCCGAAAGAGTTTGCCTGACTGATTGAATTTTCATGGAATTTTCCGAGCACTTGTGCCAAAGAGTTTTCTCCGGGATGTGCTGGATATTGATTCGCATTTCGGTTCTGTGGATTCAACTTACGTTGCATGGCAGATAGGCGTGGGTGCCGGCCTGGCTAATTATTGTTTGGTAATCATCTATTGTCGGCGGTGGCTTCAGCGTGGTGGTTGGGACAGGTCGGCGAGTGGTGCGCCTTGTGGTCGTTGTTGTCGGAGCTGGCTCAGTGGTGGCTGTGGCAGTGGTTGCAGCCACAGGCGGTACAGCCAGTGTGCCATTGTCGCCGTGCGTGATTCTGTAGCTCTGCTGCTCCTGGACATTCCGACTGCTCATAATCAGATTCGCCTCCAGGGCAGCGGTCAGGCGCTGATCGCCATTGTTGCTGATGTTATTAATGGCGACATTGTGCTCGGAACGATTCTGGGCTGCATCCAAAGCCAAAGCCAGAGCTGCAGCTGCCATTGTTGGCCTAAATGCGGCTGCTTTGTCCGATGTCCGGGCCATTTGCGTTGTCGCCGGAATTAATGCCTCGCGCCTTGATTGAGTTCTTTGAAGGGGTCGCCCATTTGTTTCGCTGCCGTTTAATATTGATGTCCCTTCCGGCTGGCTGGCTCTTGTTTCTGTAAGAAAAAAAGATACACAAAACGAAGAATGAATAGGTTGTGAGTGGAAATTAATGACTTAGTGTTTTGTTCATTGTCCACTGTCCCTTGGTCGGCTCCCAAAACGGCTTACTTATATTTCAAATGCTCTGATCCCCATTTATCTGAAATACTCGTTACGACAATTAAAACGATTTACGGTCTCCACATTTCGGTTCAATAAATTAATCTTAATTTTTCGACAACTACTTCTCAATGGCCAGAGCTTAAGTTGAGTTTCAGCGGAAAGTGAAATTAATTAGCTAATTACCGACTTGAATTGATTTGCATGTACTTGAAGTTGAGAGGGTGTCTAACTTTAACAAAAGAGCGAAGTTTGAGCCCAAAGCTGATAATTGGAATAAAATTCTTGTTGGGTCGTCTTAGCAACCCAAGGTTGGATATAGAGGGAGGATTCGTGGTACTCCTCGATTCATGGCCACCTGGAAAAGCAATAAAATATACACGAAAATGGGTAATAACTTATGCGCCTTTGACATACGATTCGAGTACTTTTGGGGCTTCCTTGGATGCAGATTGCTGCACAGGAAGAAATTTATCCCACTTATCATCATAAAAATATTTTAGGGAGAAAAACTTAGGTACAATTTTTAATTCTTTAAAAATTTTGAAATATGTTGAATATATAATAAAGTATATCTTAAAATAAATATACTTTTCTAAATTTTCTCTAAATATATTTCATTCCTCGCCCTCACACATTCAGACAGCGAGTAAAGTTGCCAAATTGGCGCCATAAATTTTGGGAAAAACTTTTGCAAAAGTCAAAGATAGAAACAGCCAAAGAGAAAGTAAAAGTGAAAGTGCGAGAGTCGGAAAATAGTTTTCAGTCTGATGATAAGAAAGAAAAGTAAAGCGAGGGATGGCGCTGCCTGTTTCATTATTTTAATTAAAATTGGCAGATATTTTTTATTGGCAATGCAAAGCAAAGAGTACCTAGATGACCCATCTTTAATTAACTAATGAACAGTGATCCCACAAATACTCTGCATGCCAATCATCAAGAGCTCTTCATTACCCATTGAGTATCGTGTGGAAAGGAGAAAGTTTTCCATAGAGACGCGAGAATAGATGGGGCCTCCGCCATTTTCTAATCAAGTTCAGCGTATTTTGTTCTGCTCAAAGTAAATGCAAAACTCTGGAAGCCTCTTTTAACGGTCCGGGCCAAGTCGTGCGTATGCTGTGTAGCCTATGTGTATGGTAGAGAGTCGCGCTGGGTGTCTGGGTGGGTGTGTGTGCGTTATCATGTTTTATGTTTATGCTTCGTGTACGTGCAATAAAGATAAAGCGATTGCATATAAAAAACTTTTTAATTGCCTGCACTAATGATGCACTGCAGCCAACTTGATTATAATAAAGTTACAAAAATTCCATTTCCCTGAAGCACAGTGGGCACAGGATATAGGTATATCCAGTTACTACTAACTAAAGAAAGTTTCTAGTAAGGGAGAATATTTTCACAGGGCTGAGGTACTAACTCACCTCATTAGTTGTATGAGTTCAACCACTAACCATACAGCATACTAACTACTACTACTAACCATGCTGTATGGTTAGAGGTTCAACGCTACGTATACGTAATTTTTCTATGCTTATTTACCATACATGTTATTATTGGAAAATCCCAAGGTATTCTTAATTATAATCTCCGTTAAAAAATGACGGAATAATCTTCATATTTAATCCAGCATTAGTCTCATCTCAACCCACTGTCCGGCACTTCAACTCATTTGCCCGCAAAACATATAAAAACCAACAGCTGGTGGCAGACGAGCCAAGGAACTCGTCAGCAGACAGGCGGTGGGTGTGGCACAAAGTAGGCAAACAGGAGAGGGGCGTGTCGACCAGCGATGAAACAAATCAAAACAGCGTAAAAAAGTGCAATAAAACAGGCGAATTACTTGGAAGTCCGGACTCCGGACCTAAGAAAAAATGAAAACAAAATAATAAACTCAAATTATTAAGAAAAAAATTATCATTTAGGCCAAAGCAGCATGATGGGACTGTAAAGGGAACTCAGGGTCTAAAAAGGAGACGACTGAGTGGTTGAGAATGGAAGGGGAACTGGCGGGCCCTTAAAAATTTGCTTAATCTTTCCGCGCCAAAACAGAGAGGAAAGTCGCAAACTAAAAAGTTGTAAAAGCAGGCACGAACACAGACCTCCTTCCCCCACTGACACCGCCACTGTAAAAACAAATTGTGCGCAAAGCTAAAAAATAAAAAAAAATATGTGTATAAAAAACCGGAGACACAAACAGTTGCGACGCGAAGCGGCTTCAAGGAAATCAAGGCGAACACTCGACGGAGAACGGAGAAAAACTTGCGTAATGAGGCTGATGGGGCGGAGAAAAGCGGATGGGGGAACTCACACATAAAATGAGCCTCATCATGCAGAATTTCATTGACTCTCCACGACGAGGACGATGATGGGGAAAATGCTGCTGGGACTGCAAGGAAACTTGAGCGGCATCCTTACACTAAAAATTAACCGAGCAGGCGAACTCCCAAGTCCCGCGGGCATTTTTAGTCGAAAGTGTTTTAATCAAACGCCTCTCTACACTTGCCCCAGCCGGGAAGCCTGTTCGGGGTCAAAGTTGCTCCTTAGTCTGTTTTTGTTATTCTTGTGTAGTTGCTTGTTGTTGTTTGTCAGACTATATTATTGTTATGAGAACAATAATAACAACCACTGCGGAAGGAGAGAGTACTATGCGAAAAATCGCAGCTGAGAAATGGCTGATGTTCTTTGATTAAACTTTTTGGATGATAAAATATTATAAACATGTTCTTTTAAATAAAGTAATCGTTCTGAACTAAACAAAACTAAAAAACATAATATTAATACAAACTAATTTGGATCTTTCTTCAAAAATCAATAATTTTAGTTCTCAATCTACTATAAAATATCTAAAATATTATAAACATGTTCCTTTAAAAAAAAGTAATCTTTCTGAACTAAACTAAACTAAACTAAAAAATCTATACTTTTAGTTCTCAATCTACTAAGATTTAAAGCTTGAAGGCTCTTAAACGAACCTAATATTTTAAGATATTTTGATGCTAAGTTTATGCTTATTTAGGGAGGGAAAGAAAATTCCATGTTATTATGTTTTTCTAAAAACTGCTTTTTATTTAATTATAATGTCCATATATAAGGCAAGTTAAAAATTCCAGTGTACTCCCACGGCAGGCCTACTGACTGATGTCCGTTGTGTCCGTCTTGGGCTGACAACATTTCGACACTTTTCCTAATTATGATAGTCATGTTGCCGGCATGATGAGCCTAATTCTGGTGGCGACTATTACGATGATGATGATGATGGAAATTGGCTTAACCCCAGGGCGCTCGGCCGCAGTTGAGGAGCGGCGCAATCTCCGCAATGGGGAAAGACAAGACTAAGGACTCTCGGCCGGACACTCTCATCAAAATGCCAGCCTAGTTATCACCCATAATGATGACGGCCGCAAAGTGTGGATGAGGTTGAGGAAGGGGCGGCCGAAAGCGGGCGTAACTTTGTGTAATAATTGTTGTTAAGCGTTTAAGTCGGGCGTGCCACTTTGGCGGCTAACCGAGTGGCATCTCGTGGGAGAATAACCCAGGACTTGAACAAGTTATCGCTACCGCAAGGCAGTCAGCCAGCCAGTCAGCCAAAAAGCCAACAATGGAGCGAAGGTCGGACGGAATCTGCGCTTGAGTTAGGTTCGTTTTCGGGACTGGCTCTTCTCGGTTACTTCACTTTTTGCTACAAGCATTCAATGGTGCTCAAGCGGGCAGCTGAATTTGATTAAACAAAAGTAAAAGTTTTGAAACTTTTTTATTCCTCGGTCCATTTTTCACCCTATCCCCCACCCCATCCCATACTTGTTACTTTGATTGTTGTTATTTTTCGTTCAATTGGCTGAATCTCCTCAAGCGTTTCGTTCATCACTTTCATGGCCAAACAAATCGAACAGCTTCCGAAAATGGGGTTAGTGGCAGTGGTATATCCGGGGGTGTATCAAAGTTTCAAGCTTTTAACACAATTTAAAGCATCCAGTGCCACACCCATCAAAGCTGGCGTCCCCTTTTATTGAATTTTTCCCTATTGCTCGACCTTGCTGCAGTTTTCCCATTGCTTTTGCAACTTTTTCATTAAAAAAAAGGAAAACAAACAGAAAAACCTATGTAGGCAGACCTGGAGGAATGCAGCGTTTGATCGAGTTTGGTTCATTGATGAAAATGTCGAGAGTCACTTTCGTTATGCTTTGGTCTCAACTTTTAGTTTAGCAATTTGTGCCCTTTCATGTAACCATTTTGATTTTAATTACCTTTCTTTCTCTCCCTGGTTTTTCATCTCTATTTTCTCATTTTTTTCGATAAAAACTGAAATTCGAGGACCTCTTCGAAGCTTTTCTGATTTATTTTTCAGGGAAAAACTAAGCACTTTAGGACTTCCATTAGAATAAATGTACATTTTAGTTGCAAGTATAAATTCGAAAACCAGTTGACCATTTGGCCTGCCATTAAATATTTTATTTAAACGTCAATATTTTACGTCTAAACAATTCTTCAAAATTCCTGTTCTAAGAATGGATCTCTGATGAAAATATTTGTTATTTGGAAAACCAATTAGGAAAAATATTTGTTATATGCTTTTAAATTGTATTTTTGTTCCACGAAATGACTTGAATTTCCAGGCTACATAAACTTATCTGCCAAAATGCCAGTATAATTTAAATTGACCCTGACAAAGAAAGTAAAAAACGCTAAAACCAAGCTGCGTCGCACCCGCTTGTCTCCCAACACTGTCATATTTTGCTTTACCTCAGACAGACGGCCCTAAAATATTCACAAAGGCCAAATACACACGGCAGCAAATACCCCGAATTCACCCACAAAATGCTTTTAAGCCGCGCATATCAAATTGTTTTTAAGGAAAACACGAGAAAAAGATTCTGGCAGAGGAAGGCGGGTCATTTAATATGCGACAAATGTATCGTAAGAAATAATTTCATATTTGACGCAGCTTACCCGGCAAGCAGATGAGCAGGGCCAGAAGGATCAGGCTTCCCGGCATCCTGGCCAACTCCATTAAAGTGCCAAGCAAATTGATAATCCTTGCTGCGTGTCGGTTCTGGGATTGCGAGCTTCGCGTTCGCGTATCCCGTGTCGCGTTCCGCGATTCGGTTCCTTGGTTCGCGGTCCTTGGGCGGCTAAATCCTTTGGCCTTAACTGGGTCACATTGGCTGTCGTCTGGCGGCGTTGTGCCGCTGGAGCCTTTGCAAATTTATCCCTGCCGCGGCCCCTGAACGGAGCAGTATTCGTTGCTCTTTTTAATATGGCGTACACGCCTTGACACGAACTGCAGCGATATGTTCTTCTCCTTCGCGTGGTTGGCTGTTCTTTGGCGCACAAAATCGCAGGGTTAACATATTTTCAAATTGCACTGCACGGTAAGCTTGTCGAGGCAATCTAAAATAACTAAAAGCGAAAAATGTCGTATGGTAAGCTGGGCAGCAAGAACAACACGTGGCCAATTTTAAATATTCCCACAATTCCTAACCGGTCGAGCAAGGCTCTGTGTTTTGGGTCCCTTACTCGTATCCTTGTACAACCATCCTAAATTCTCTTGCTCCTCCGTCCGTGCCCCAGTTTATGACCGGCATTTTGCGCCGAGTCCTGTTTTTGATATGTTTGTGTAAGTTTTTGGTTGGTTTTAGTAATGTGGGTGCTCTTGGCGTTAGTTATCCAACCAAAATGTTTCCAGTTTCAAATTCTCAAAACCCAAAATTCCTTAACAAAATTTAACTTTTTTATAACTTGAAGAAAATAGGAACTTTTAGTCCTTTGATAAGATAATTACAAACGTTAGCTTGTAAAATATTACTAAATAATATAAAAACAATTTGTTTAGTTTTTCAATGCATTTAAAGGACAAAACCATAAACGGAAAACATATTAACGTTATGAAGGAGAAATAGATTTCCGGAATCAGACCACATGTAGTTGGGTAAGCTTCGGCATGGGCATTCCATTTGCCTCCTGCTTGTGTTACCTCATCTTTCTTTTACGCCCCAGACTATTTGGCATTAACGAAATTTATTTATGCGGGTGTTTAGTGGGGCGTAAAAGGAGTACATATGGATGGCCAGCCATCCGGCAGCCATCTAGGAAGCAGACCAACACGCCCACCGTCCCAACTTACAAATGCAGGACACGCGCAGGATGAATTGAAAGGATTCTCGATGGCCAGCCCAGGTGGAGGCAGATCGGAGCCGAACGAGTCTGGCTGCGAATAATGATTTAAATGCTGTTTTGTCTTTGCCAACAGATGGGCTTTGAGTTGGTCTCTGTCCGTGAGTGCGAATGCCAATTCGATTGCCAGCTTGAGTCTGAGTCTGAGTCTGAGAAAGGCCAGGCATACATAAGTAATGGCGGCGGAGTAGGTAGCCCAATGAAGCGTTAACTCAAATGTTAAACAAATGTAATGTTCCGGACGACTGGCTCATATGCATTAGGGCTGAGAAGGAGTTGGACCTTGAGCCAGAGCCGTGGATAACACAAATAATATTAAATTGATTGCACAAACAAAACAGAAGCGGAAGTGTAAATGATTTAACACAATTCCCATTTCTATTCGCATTCCGCATCCTCGACTTCTGACTGTTGTCCGTCTTGGTTCTAGCCATCTGCCTTCCGGAACACTCAAACATTTGGACCTTGCTCGACGGCGTGGAAAGCGGGAGGTTCTTGTGTCTTGTAATTTAGTTTATTTCGATTGCCGTTCAATTTTGAAACTCGGTCATCAATTGTTATTTTTTATTGCTACTTTGATATTGTTATTGTGGTTGATTGTGTATTGATCCAGTTTTTTATTTATTTTTATTACACAAAAATTAAAATTTATTAGTCTAAATATTGTTAAAATTTAAACATGTAGTTTTTTAGTTTTTAGGTTTTGAATTCAAATATTTCTGTCAATATCTTTTTATTTTATCGGTGCGAAATTAGAAAGGATTAGTTTCAGTATTTGTTTATATTTTAGTCACTTGCAATTTATATTAAAATTTTTTTATTTATTTTTGTGAAAATTACTTTTACTTTACATTTATTTTTTTAAAACTACACCGCGTCACAAAGTCAGATCACTAATAGTTGTCACTGATCGTTCTTGTTTGTATTTTTGTGAAACATTTATAACCCTCACTGTTAGACCAATTTAAGTTCAACGGCTTGAAAGCGAGAAGCGAACTACGCTTGACACCGGCCAAAAGGAAACTAAGCCAAATGGCGACACCTTAACAGGCAAAACCAATCGGGTCCGAAGCGAGCCGAAGGGTGCGTTTCGGTGGCGTATACGCAATATTCGTAATTTCCCCCTAACAGCTGTAAAAGGTTAACAGCCCGAGAGAGAACGACCGGGAGCGCAATTCTGTTAAGTTCATGCTGGTGATGTTAACACGGCCATTTATGCTAACGAAACAAATGCAATTACACGCGTAAACTGTTCTATTGTTATTTGGGATGTTTTATGCATCGAGTAGTTAGGAAAATTACTCATTTGGAATTTCATGCAAATTCCAGCATAAAATCTGAACGAGCCTGGGGACCTCCGGGGCCTACATTATCATTTATGCCTGGTCAATTAAATGTCAAAGGGTTTTGAAGCCGGGAAACCTACGGTTATGGCATTTTAACAGCGCGATAACATAATTCCTCATTAATGGCGGACCAAAGGCACTTTTTCACAATGCTCAGAAAAGTGCTGGCGAAAAAAGAGAGAGGAAAAACAAAGCGGATATAAAGGATACGAATGAAAGTGGGACAGCAGCAGCCATCCAGCCAGCAGAGGAAACCGCATTAAGAACGCGTCTTGGCCGGATATGCCATGGCAAAGTGCAAAACACTGGGATAACTAAGGATATCGGGGACTCGCAGAGAGCAAAGAAAACAAAAGACCAAATTATAATGCAGACGAACGGCCATAGACGTCGCCGCGAACGGCGAAGATGTTCGCGAGGGGTTTCGCAAGTGTGCATTAGAAGGAGGAGTCACAAAAAACGGAAGCTTTTGCATAAAATTCAATTTGTCGTGTGCAGCAGCCATGAATATGCCGAACTCCGGCTTTAAGCCGAACCTGATGACGGCGCCTGGGATCTACACTGATAAAGAAATCTGAGTTCTTGTTGACCTATTTTCAACATTTCAGTTGCTGGTGGCATATTGCATGCTTAAATATTAATACGAGCCAATTAACTTTTTTTAGACATTTTTTAGTAAATTTGTTATTTAAAGTTGACATTTAACCTGCGGTTACATATAATTAATATTTTAGACCGTTTACAAAGTATTTCAATTGTCAATCATAGCTTGCTCCTGTCAAACAAAAGAAAAACATGCAAACCTTGTAATGCACTTTTTTCGATAAAAAAATCACAATCACAAAACACAATTTTTTATCCAAACAACAAGATTAATTTATGCAATTCAATAGCTTTTGACATTTTATCCCGCAGTGCACTCCGTTTCGGCCATACCTCCCTCTACATCGTAACATATGCGCGAAATTACTTACGTTGTGCTGTCAGTGACAGTTTCTGGCTGGTTTTGGCCCTATCCACTCTCCATTCCGGCCCAATCCCAATACCATCTCTTTCCCGGCGCCCACAAAGGCTTGTAAAACAATGGCTGCACATGCAGAAGACACATTCACTTTTTAAAACACCGCACATACGCATACAATTGCGACTATTTTTATTGTTTATTTAGTTAAATAATTGAACCACCCATGAGCACACACAATGATTGCTGAATTAAAACGATTTTTGCACACATTTCTTTGTTTCATTTGATGCAGTGTTATTGGAAGGCCCGCAGCTAATTTTGTTTCACAAATTCAAAACAGTGAAAAGTATGAGTTAAAAATATTTGTCTATAATGCCAAAACTCGAAAAGTTTATTACACAATTTCATAAGGGCTTACAGGATCGTGTCGAAATGAATTGAATACATTTTGCTTTGTTCAATGAACAGAAAACTAAATGAATTTTAAACTATATGCTAAAACCACTCCAGCTAGCTTTTAAATTAACCAGGTGAAATAGTACTTCACTTCAATTTTCATTTCCTTTCACTACCAGCTAAAAACAATCGCGCAAATTACCCAAGCCAGTTTGAATTAAGAAAAAAATTCTGCTTAGCCGTGCACTTTTCTCAATAGAACTCAATCATGCAAGACCCTTGGAAAGGAATTCCTCCTCAGCTGTCCTTTAGCCCTACTCAACTTTTGCGCACCTTTCACTTTTTTCTTACAACTCATTAATCACAGTTGTTGAAGGGTGAGCAAAAAATTAAAAAATTTCAAAGGAGCGGGAAAAATAATGTGCCTGCTCAAATGGGTCGGTGAAATTAATGCGATTAAATTGGACAGACACTTGTGCCGACTACAAAAGATAATCAAATTAAAATCGAAAACAGATTTTCCAGCTTATTGCATAAAAAGCACGAGAAGAGAGGATTTGCTGTGTAAAAGCGGAGAAATGACGTTTTGAATTCAAGAGAATACCATTTAAATCTGATGAAAGTTGATTCGAAATGAAGTTTAAATTAAACACTACTACCATAAACTTATACAAAGTTAGACCTTAAACAAAATAGTAGAAATTTCATAAGGTAAAACAAAGGGTGCACTGGTGAGAAGTCTTTCAACCATCTAATTAAAGCTCGAAATCACTGACTGGTATTTCCAGCACTGGCTGCCAGGAAAAACATAAATTTCAGGGCTGAATGTTCAGCAGCCACCAATTAATTCAAAATTTATAGCCAGTCAAGCACTAAGGCATCATCATTGTCCAGTGCCCGGCACATTCATCGTGTCTGGCTAATGTGACTCCATGGGCGGCTATTGAAAGGGTCTGGTCGGTGGTGAGGGCGGTATAATTCCCATGTAGCTGCTACTGATGGGCCCGGAGTGGACAAGAAGTGTAGTAGAGTGGAGTGGTTCGGAGACTGCAACAAGGGACCACATTAGCCGCAACGGCCGTGTGTGACAGCTGGACGATGTCAAATGTATGAGTATGAGAAGAACGCCTGTCCTGACTGTGTCATTTATGCATTGCCGACTGATTGATTTGGCACACTCTGGAGTCCCTGCTCTGGGAAGAGTCGAGTCAATGTTGAACGAATGTTTCTGCGGCTAACATGTGCAGTAAAAAAAATTGTTAAGCTTAGATTTAAAAATACCCAGACTACAACTATTAGAACAACTGAAAATTTTTCAAGTTTGAAAAGTGTTTTCAAAAAAACATTATATTTATGCTTTTGTTTTCTAATTTTTCTGATGTTTCCAAGAAAATAATTGAGGTGTGCTGCTACGAACGAATATGGTATGGCCTTCAGTTACTTCTGGACCGCAATTACTGCGCCAATTATGCGACATTTTGCAGAAAACTATCCTACATCGTATCACATGGAAAGATCATTTCAATTTGGTACATTTAAGCAGAGTTGATAGCATTTATGGCGGTAAACACAGCAGGGAAGGCACAGTAAATGAAGCCTTAAACGCAGTTCAAATAACAGTGAAAATCTTTTTGCAAATCCTCTAGGCAACAATTACACATTTCGCCCTGACTCCGGCCGGCTGCCTTGTTCCCTACTGCTCTGGCCTGTTCTGTTCTGGGTTGGCATTAATGCGGTTAGATTGTGTAACCTTCATCTCAGTCGCATGAGAATAGTCCTTCGGCTGCTGGCCCCTGCCAAAAAGTGCCAAAAAGTCTAAAAAAGGAAATACGTTTTTTCAGTTTTGGGTAGATGTTGTTTTGGTGCTGTGCTATACACAGGCATCGCATCCTCTGCATGACAACTTCACTCTGTTGCTCCATTTGCAACATTTATGGGATTCCGTATGCTATTGCCGGAATGTGTGTGCGTTCGCTTGTCTGTGGCTGTGTGTGCGAGAGGTCATTTTATTGTTTCCAGACAAAATGGTCAAATGGGAATTTGGTTTTTAGCTTAGCTTTTTCGACATTGTGTGTGTGTGAGCAGCCTATAGATTTAGATTGAACTGTCGAACATGTTACTGGGATCTCTTGGATTCAACTGCCCGCGCCCACCCAATCGAGGGTAGCTTTGGGGGATGACCAGCCAGTCGGTCTCTTGGTCAGTTGGGCAGAAAAAACAATGCAAATGATTAGAATAATCGCCGTAGGTGTTTGACTGAGCCGGACTTACTGGGCCATAAACACAAATTCCAGCCTCCCCCATAAAAGTTTCCACTTTCGCCACCCCAACGATTTTATTACTCTCAATTGACTTTTGGGGCCGAAAATCCTTTTTCCCAAGCTCAGTTTCAAATTGATTCGGAAGAACATTTATACTCATATATGTACCCAGACCAACTTAAAAATAACTGTCATTGGTTACGCTTATTTAGAGTAATCGATGATAAATTTTCAATTATCAATTACAATACGCAAGCAGTTGATTGCAATCTTTAAGAGAGATTTATTGCCTTTGTTCCGCTGACTTTGGAAAATAATTTACCCACTTTTTACCTTTCCCTCCACGAAGTGTTTTATGAAACTCACCCATTTCGTAATGCAAATTTTCGCCTTGCTGGCAAATTAGCTTGTGCGGTTATTTACCACGCCACCTTAACTTGTCCAGAAAGGGAAGAGCGAACACTTGTTTTGGTTTCATGAATTTTGAATAATTTAATTTGTTTGCGAGGGTACCATTTTATGAATTTAGTGATGATGAAATCCAACAAAATGTATTTATTATTTAGGTTTATTTTATTTTTGAACATAATAATTAACACTTTCATAAGTAAGCAGAAACCTTTATAATCTAGTTTTGTCTTGGAGGTCCTAGTATTTTCTCGATTTCACAAAGCCTGTTCATCACCTGCTGATTTCGAGCCTTTTGGTCCTTAAGCTTCTCTCCTATGGCATCCAGTGTGGCAGCAATGGCCAATAGAGATACATCTGAAGTTTGCAGATCTCTGAGGAGCGGTGATATTTTGGCAACGGGCACAGAACTTGGGTCGGGGGATGAACTTTCATCGGCGGCAGAACTCACTGCTTCAGCAGCTGGTTCCGAGGCAGATTCTTCGATGTTTTCAATCGTTGGTTCAACGGCAGTGGCATCAGTAGCTGATTCGACTATTAGAGGACATGTTTCTCCAACGACTGGTGTATCTTCTTCCTTGGCAACTTCTGGTGCTTCTATAGGAGCGTCTGGTGCTACTTCAGCTTCTGGAACTGCAGCATCCACAACAGCAGGTACAGCCTCTAAAGACGTATCTGGAAGAATCTCCGAAGGTTCTTCCACAGTAGGTTCTGCAGGCACTGAACTTGTAACAAGAACCAGCGCTTCAGGTTCAATGACAGGTTCGGGTTCTGGCATTGCCGCCCCAGCTGCAGGTGCTACAGACTCAGGAGCAGTAGGTTCTGCTACAGGTGAAGCAGCTACAGCCTCTGGAGCCTCCGACTCAGGAGCTATTGTTGGAGCTTCTTCAGCGGGAACAGTTACTAGATCGGTACTCGGAACGGCGGGTTCGACAGGTATTTCTTCCTGTTTTGTGGGTTCAGGAGCAGCACCAGGATCAGGTATTACGTCAGTTTCAGCAACGGGAGTCTCGTTAGATACAGGTTCTGGTATAGCTGCTGATGACTCAGGGACAGCAGGAAGAGCTTCCACCACTGGTTCTGGAGCTACAGCTTCCAGCTCCGCCACTATCACCGAAATTTCTGATAGATTTCTGATAGATTCCTTTGGTTGAGCTGCCTCATCTTGTGATGGGACTGATTCTGGCACTGGGACTTGAAGTTCTGTTAATGGTTCAGGAACTAGTGCTGTGGGTCCTTGATCTGCTACTGGCGTTTCATTTTCTGCAGCTGGAATTTCTGGCTCCGGTGTGGGCACTTCAACAGATTCTGGAGGAGCAACGGCTTCCGGTGACACTATAGTTTCCGGAACTGGTGCTGCCTCCTCGATAATGGCAACAGCTTCAGACTTTGCTGTTGGGACTTCTTCAGCGGCGGGGACTGCATCTACCGCCGGAACTTCGGATACTTCACTGGCAGTATCGATGGGCTGTGCAAGCTGTGACTCCGCAGCAGTTGCGTCCACTGCAGAGCTAACTTCTTCTGACGCTGGAGCTGGTAAGATCTCTGAAACTGGCGCGGTTACTGCAGCTGGTGAAGAAGTTTCAATGACAGGGGCTTCCACTGCAGCGGCGTCTGATGCAGCCTCCATTGCAACCAAAGGAGCAACAAAATTTTCGGAAACACACGGTGTAGAATCTGGGGAAGCGGCAGTTGTTGCCGTTGAAGCAATTTCCGTAGAAACTCCTGGAACAGTTTCAGTGGCAGGTGCTGGAGTTGCTCTAGGAGCATCAACAAGTGTAGTTTCCGAATCAGTCGTGACAACAGGCTCAGAGAGCTCAACCGGAGGCTCCAAAGAAGCAGGTATGGATTCAGTGGAAACTGGCGCAGCTATAGACACATCGACTGGAGGAGCTTCTGGAGCCGCTATAGTTTCAGATACGGGAGGTGGTACTGCAGCAGAGACTGCTGCCGGAGCAGTTAAAGGAACGGACACTGGAGGGGCAACCGGTTCATCCACTGGAGCAGGCAGGGGAGAAACGACTGGAGCGGGCACAGAAGCAGCTACTGGAGTAACGAGTGGTGCCACTGAAGCTGTCTCAGGTGCTGGTACTGGAGTGGCGACTGGAGCGGCTACCGTGGCCGTGACAGGTGCTGCGACTGAAACAGCTATTGGAGCTGCGACTGGTGCAGCTACTGTGGCTACAGGAGGTGCCACAGGTGAAGCCACTGGTGGAGGCACAGGTGCAGCCACAGGAACGACTGGAGCAGCAACCGTGGCCGTGACTGGTGCAGCTACTGGAGCAACTTCTGGAACAGGTACAGGAGCAGGCACAGCAGGAGCTACCGTGGCCGTAACTGGTGCTACGACTGGAACAGCCGCGACTGGCTCAGCTACTGTGGCTACAGGATCTGCCACAGGCGCAGCCACTGGTGGAGGCACAGGTGCAGCCACAGGAACGACTGGAGCAGCAACCGTGGCCGTGACTGGTGCAGCTACTGGAGCAACTTCTGGAACGGGCAGAGGAGCAGCCACAGTAGGAGCTACCGCGGCCGTAACAGGTGCAGCTACTGGAGCCACCTCTGGAACAGAAGCAGGAGCTTCAGTGGACGTGACTGGTGCAGCTACTGGAGGCACTTCTGGAACAGGAGCAGGCACAGGAGGAGCTACCGTGGCCGTGACTGGCGCAGCTACTGGAGCCACTTCTGGAACAGGTACAGGAGCAGCCAAAGGAGGAGCCACAGGAGCAGCCACTGGGGCATCCACAGAAACAGCCACAGTAGCAGCTACTGAAGGAGCTGTTGAAGTCGGAGCAACCGGGGCAGGAGTAGTGGCAGGAGCTCCGGCTTGAGCTGGCGCTGGAACGGGTACGGAAGATGCTACAGGAACGGGTGCAGGAGCTGGTGCAGGCTTAGGGGGAACGGCAGGAGCACCGGCTGACACAGGAGCAGATGTCGCAGCTGGAACTGCAACTGGAGCTACTACTGAGGCTGCAATCGGAGCAGGAGAAGAAGTTGGAACCTGAACTGCAACAGTGGCTGCAGGTGGTACTGCTGCTGGGGGAGGAACTTGGGCTGCGACAGGAGCAGGGACTACTACTGGAGCAGGTGCTATTACAGGAGCAGGGGCTGGCGCAGGAGCTGGGGCTGCAACAGAAGCAGCGACTGCCACGGGTGCTGGGGCTGCTGAAGGAACAGGGACTGCCACAGGTGCTGCTGCTGGCGCTGGAGCTGGAACAACTACACTCGGAGATACTCCTGCAGGAGCCACAGAAGCAGGTGTTGGTGTGGTGGTAAGAGGTGCTGCCGTTGGCACTGGAGCAGGTGTTGGAGCTGCCCCTGCCGCTTGAGCAGGTGTAGGTGCCGCCCCTTCTTGATTCATTATCAGGGCTCTTAAAAATCCTTCTCAAAGTCAGCAAGTTGCCTTTAACTTGTCCCGTGCTTAGTCAGAAAATGCTTTCATGACCAGCTTTTCATGGTCATTCCTTGGATTGCTGCAAAAAGAAAAAACGCAAGTTTAAAACCATGAGCCATGGAAAGCCAAATTAGAACGGCCTTCGCATTGGAGGCCACATTAGATGTCATTGACACCTTGAAACACATGTTCTCTAATTGTTTCTTTTTAAGGTTATCGATCAAAAATTGATTAAATATTTTCACTGGCGCCACTTAGACGGGCCTAGCTCGTTAATATAGTACCATAATTTGCGTACATTCAAATGAATGTTTGTTTCAAATGTTTTTCTACCTATTTTTTATAAAAATATTATGGTAAAGTGATTCTTTCACATTTGAAAATTTGAGAGTCTCTTTTTAATATTTTTTTGGTAAGAAAATCTTTTAAAATCCTTTAAGACGACATGTTAAAGATGTTAAATATTTTCTTAATATTAGCACAACAATTTTAGCACAAACAAAACGAGTCTTAAAGATCTACGATACAAAATGTGAAACAATAATTTAACAATTGATTTTAAATGTGATTTTTTTTGTTAAATAATACCAACCGAAATATCACGTTATCGTTGACAGATACCGACCACTCGTTGGGAAAAGCTGCGACTAACTGGCCCGCTGACCAAGTTTTCGTGAATATTTTCACCTCTTCTCGGTGGCTTGCCTTCCTTTCGAGGAAGTCTGACAACTGCCCATTGAGAATGCATACAATACGCACCGCTTGAACTGCTTTGACGCTATTTTCACATTATATTTAAGGTGCTTAGCAGCTGACCTTAGCCAGCATTGAATTATATCCGACTCGCTCAAGACGCCTTCCCCAGGGCGAGAATGTGCAGCCAGTTTTGATACTCTCAACTGTATTGAATGCGCATTCAAGATTTATTTGCGCCTGATTGCATATCGCTTACCACTCGCATTGTCAGCTGCACTCGCAGACACATAACTTGTTATTTACACAATACTGATTACTTTGCCGTATTTGCAATGTAGTTGTCAACAAAATGCGACAAGTCTGGCTCACCCACTCAGTGGGCGCCTGGTGGGGCGGAAACAAAAATTCCCCATCGCTTCTGTGCTGGTCGCCATTCAATGTCTGATGCAATGACAGTTGACAAACTGCCACGACATAGCCGTTGGATCGGAACACATTAGCTCGGTGGAAATGTAATCGCAAAGAACTAAGAAATAAATCTTTCAATTTTTTGAATGCAAAAGGGAGGAAGTGCATCCGAATGTAAAGCAATCCACAGAGGCAGCAGAGGAGTTGCACATGCCATGCCGTCCGCCGTTGCAAGTGTAATGTGATCTGCGTACAATTTGCAGGCGTCGTTTAAAAAAGTCCAACACCTCCTCCTTACCCTGCTGCCCTCCTCCGCCCAATTTCCATTCGGAGGAGCGAGCACACTTGAGACTTTTGCAAATAGTTTTTCCACATATGAACAGAAAGAATTTGCCTCGCAAAATAAAAAGATTTCCAGCGAGGAGAAAAGAAACACACATATATAAATAGGGAAGATGGGAAATCGCTTATATGGAAATGATTTCACTGGAGAAGTGGAAGCGATGGGAGACCGAACGTAGTAGTTGGGAAGATTGAATTGGCAGTTCAATTTCACGTATTATTGACATTTAAGCGTAAGCATTTGAATATAAACTGAACCCGGCTCAGGGATTGGATCTTGAATCGAAGGAAGAAAGGACCGAAGCGGGAGCTAGTCCTTTCACAGGATGCCCAGACATTGGCTGCCTATTATTTTTTGTGCGATAAATCAATCGCATGAAGCAAAATGCAGAGAAAATACCAGATAAGTGGAAATGAAATTACATCAAGCATACAAATTGTATTTATACTTTATTCTATACCCTGATGCATCACTGCACTCGAAAATTGATTTGGTCTGTTACCCAGCGAAGCTTATGCAACAGGATGCATTATTTTTGTTTAGAAAGTTTAGTAATAGGATTTTTTCTTCAGATTTTTTATAACCTGAGAGTTAAAGTCTGATTTCAAGCAAAGTAGACACCGTTCCAGAAGAAAAACCCATAAAAGTATGCTATAAAATATTAATTTTAAGATTTGATTGGAAAAAAGTAACTGAAAGGTAAACAAAGAGGACTTAAAGGTTATAAACGAGAGATTCACAAGGTATGTTTGTATATTAATATATATACAGTGTGTATGTACTGTTTAAAAATGACAATTTTTAGAAGAGGGTAAGGTTCTGTTAGTCGTATCAGGTTCAAGCATTTAAGCTCAGTAAAGAACTATATTTTTAGCTCCTAAAGTTAAAATTAAAGCAAGTTAAGAGAGTAAAAAGCTAATTTTTCGTATTTTATAAAAAGCGCCTTTTAAACGGCATTTCTATATCCGATTTCAGGTGACTGTTAAACCACAAAAAAACGCACACAAATCGGAGCAACACATAAGCTTAATTGCCGTCATTTTGCACGCACTCTGGGCTTGTTGAAAGTCGAGGGTCCGAAAGCGATTGGCAAAAACCAAATACAAATATGAATACAAAAATCGAAATAGCGAATTGCGTCAGAGGAGCAGAGGGAAGGAGCTGGGGCGAGATCTGAAGCTTCAATCCGGGACCGCTTCCGGGTGTATTTTGCTAAATTGCAAATATTTCTCGAATCGCATGCATCAGCAGAGAATGCAATGCAAACAATTTTCGCCCAGCGGCCACAATAAAAAGGGATACCCCCTTGGAGTGCAAAAAACCCCAACACCCGGAATGGGGGCGGGCATTTTGCTGGCTAGGCGATAAAAAAAATCGGCGCCGTATGGCAGCCCTGGTCGCTGTGTGAGACTGTTGCAACTATGGTGCAATTTATTTCCAGTTTGATTGGTTTTTTCGTGCTTAATTGCACTCGGCATGTGGGAGGGTGTGGGTGGTGCGTCCGATTGGCATCGGGATGGCGGTGGCTGCCCCAATTGGTTGAAAGGTCGCGCTCATCACGTGCTTTAATAATTTATTCAAATTAACACGCGCCTCTGTGTGTGGGCTGGGGGATGCATCGGCCACTGGGTCAGACTGCGCTCGGTTAATGGCCAACACTTTGTGGTCAGAGTAAGCCGGAAAAAACTGGCAGGCAAATGCAAAATATTGCACACAAGCACCCACTTACGGTTGCACACCACACATTCCACCCACAACATTTACGTATGTATACAGACACATGAAAAGGTGTGGGTGTGTAAATTACAGCTACATTTTTAATGCATTTTTATTTACATTTACATGGCTACACAAACTGATCTGAGGGGCGGGCGTCGGGCGATGAGTGGGTAAGCCCGGACCTGACAAGAACCTTTTGACACTTGACAATTTGATTGTTTTTAAGGCAGAGTGTTAAATTATGCAAAGCACATAACAAACACAAATCGAAAAGCACGCACGCCCGAACACTGTATCAACAACAACGGAAAGTAAAATACATATTTAAATGGCAAGCCGAACAACAATTTGCATCAATTAAATTGCTGAAAAATGCTTGAAATATTTAAAGTGGTTTTTCGATGGGTTTTGACGCAACCAAGTGTCAAGCCAAATAAACCACTTTACGCTTTTAGCTTTAGGTTTGAAAGAAATATGATTTGATTTGGTTTTTGTTATAATCTTGGTGCTTAAAATGAAACTCTTCAGAATTCAATAAAGCTTTTGGTTGATAAATATTTCTAAAAAAACAAGTATATTCTTCCTAACTCGACAAAACAGTTTAAAAATTTAAATTTAAACAATGAGCAATATTTACGACGTAATTGCAACTAATGTTGCGAGTTAAATGGCAGTAAACTAATTACGATCCCTTGGCCTGGTTCAACATAATTTTCATTGCATTTTTTTCAGCCTTTCATCTGGTCTTTTTTTTCTGCTCCTTGCGCCGCAGCGACTCCTTTCTGGCTCCTTTCTTGTGGTAAATTAACTTGAATGCCGCAATGTATTTACCGCTACTCCAGGCAAGAAGGTGGAAAAACAACAGAAGAGCTGGCTAAGGGAAAAAACAATGAACAAGCTCCAAATGGAAAGGGTTAAAGAGCAAACAAATCCGACAAGCCGGGAGGAATGATGCAGCAAAGGTGGTAGCATGGGGCGTGGCGGTGTGGCGGCGTTAAGGGGCGTAGCAATGGAGTCGCGTAACTTTTATCATTAGTCCGCTGGGAAATTTAACGGGCACTTAAGTTTTTCTCACTCGTTTTCAACTTATTTTTTTTTCCAGAACTATTGTTTAGCCATACCACTTCCTGCCGCCCCATCCCAGCTGTCACCTTTCATTTGGCTCCTGGCTCGACTTGGCTGAAAATTTATATTACACTCTGTCCAAATACCCGAGCTGGCAAAAACGAAACTAAGGTTAGCAGCATCATTTATAAGGAACTTTTATTTTGTTAAGCTGGGTTCCCTGCTTTGGTTTTTGCGGATATCGTTGCAATTTATTTTATTGCATTTTGTCTACAGTTTGTGGATTTAATTTGGCCCCCGGTCCTGTAAACTACATCTGCTCTTCACCCGGGCTTAACAAGCTGCCAAGTTTTTAATGCCAGGCCTAAGCGGAAACTTTTTCGATTTGGTTCGGGGTCGGGTTCGGGCTCGGGCTTGGGGTCCTTACTACCGTTCTTCCGCTTCTCTGGCTTCATTCTTATGATTTTATGGCATGATGTTTTGCGGAAAAAGAACGAAGCCCTTAGCTGGATATTGCGCTATTAGGATAACAAGAGGTCACTTTTTTTTTTACCAATTTTCAAAGCATCTTACATAGCAGGTTGTCAAAATTAAAGGATACTTGAGATGCGGTTGCAGATAGAGTAACTCTGGCTTAGGGACTTACTCGGGGCTAATATTAACAAACAAAGAAAGAAAATGTAAAATTATAATTATTAAATTAGACTCTCTGAGTGGAAGAGCAAACTGAAATCTGTCCTGGGCCGAAACCAAAACCACATCTTGAATGAAGACACGTCTCGGACCAAATAGCAGAACTTGGCATTACAGCATGTGGTCAAGACAAGGATAAA